TGTCTGCCTTCCATAAGAATATACACTTAGTCTGTTTTATTCATGGTTGTATCCTTAGCACCCACAACAACGCCTGCACATTACCCTCTCAATATATAATTTCAGAGTAATGAGTCATGTAATAAGACAAGAATATGAAGCAATCAGTTTAAATATTGAAAGAGACAAAATTACCTTTTTATTAGTAGATGATAATATTGTACACCTAGAAAACCCAAGATAGACTTGGGTAGATAGCCATTAAATTTAATAAAATAACGGGAGGAGGTGGCTGGAGATGAGTATACAAAAAATCAAGATTTTTCTTTGTATCACAGCATGCATTTAGAAATGAACATGGGGGAAATGTCTCATTCACAGGGGGGGCAAATAAAAATGGTAAATAAAAGGGTAATATACAATGGAATATTACTCAGCCATAAAATGAAATGAAATTGAGTTATTTGTAGTGAGATGGATGGACCTAGAATCTGTCATACAGAGTGAAGTAAGTCAGAAAGAGAAAAAAAAATGCCATATGCTAACACATATATATGGAATCTAAAAAAAAAAAAAGGTTCTGAAGAACCTAGGGGCAGGACAGGAATAAAGATGCAGACATAGAGAATGGACTTGAGGACACGGGGAGGGGGAAGGGTAAGCTCGGATGAAGTGAGAGAGTGGCATGGACATATATACACTACCAAATGTAAAATAGATAGCTAGTGGGGAGCAGCCGCATAGCACAGGGAGATCAGCTCGGTGCTTTGTGACCACATAGAGGGGTGGGATAGGGAGGGTGGGAGGGAGACGCAAGAGGGAGGAGGTATGGGGATATATGTATAGGTATAGCTGATTCACTTTGTTATAAAGCAGAAACTAACACACCATTATAAAGCAATTGTACTCCAATAAAGATGTTTAAGAAAAAAATGAAAAAAAAAGGTAACAAAATTAGAAGGTAGTATAAAAAGACACAGACCTATATATATAGTTAAAATTATAAAAAGTTATTAAAAGAAATAAAATACTGTATTATTATAGTAATATATTTTAGATAAGAATTCTTAATATCATAGAATATAAATGTTTTCTACATGAGTATAAATGTAAAGCAATTCAAATTATAATTCCAATAAAATTTTTTTGGAAACTGGATTATAAAATCCACATAGAAGGATGTATGTCTCATAATATCCATGAAAAAATTTTAAACAATCTATAGTGATGGACAACTTTTCTTAAGAGATACTAAAATTTACCATAAAGTTACTGCAATCGAAATAGTATGGTGCTAACTGAGGATAAATAGAGCAAAGAGCAGAATAAAGGGCCTACAATAGCTCCAAACATGTGAAACAACATATGACTAAAATGGCATGAAATTTCCAGGGAAAAGTCTGTTCCATGATGCAGGCAAAATGTTCTGTTCATTTGGAAGAAAATAAAAATTAAACACCTCATACTATACAAAAATAAATATAAGATGGATTAAATTTAAATGCAAAGTTTACAAAATTAAATTATTAGAATACAATTTAGTAGACTTTTTCACAACCTTACTCACAATAAGGGTGGTCTGCCTAAGCAAAAAAGGAAATCCAGAAACTGTAAAGGAAAGACAGACATTGTATGCAATGACATTGTATGCAAAAGACATCCTAAATGAAATCAAGGCATACCAAAGATTTGGGGGGAAATATTTTACTAAGAAGGCAGTCAGAAAGTTAATATCCTTAATATTAAAAAGTCTTGAAAATTGATAAGAAAACTATTATAAATAAATAGAAATCGAAAAATGGGCAAAGAATATGAACAGACAAATTTACAGAAGAGGAAATTAAAATGTCCAATAAATACTAAAGGCAATCATAGTTGTAATAATGCAAATGCAACAAAATTATATTCAATGTTTCATCTATAAAAATTGTAAATTTTTGCAAGTGTAATAACATCATGGACTGGGGAGAATGTAGAGAAAGAGTCACTCATAAATTTCTAGTGAAAATATGAATTAATACAAACTTTTTAAATGGTATTCTCTTGGTATGTGTTTAAAATTATAATACCTATACTGGGATGTTATTGAAATATTTCCAAGATGTATTAAACAAAAGCAATGAGTATGTGTAATTTCTTTTTGTGTAAAATGGGTTGATAGATTCAGTACATATTGTATTAGAGTGGGTTAACAACTGTAAAAAATAAAATCAAACATAAAAACGTCAAAGGTTATTGCTTGCTAAATTGAGGCAGAGGGAGGGAGACTTGATGGACTAGTCACATTTAATTAGCTAGAACTCAGTCATATGACCACATGAAACTGCAAAAGAGACTGAGAAATGTAGTCTATCTGTGCCCAAGAGGAAGAGGAGAAGTTTTAGTGGACAGCTAAAAGTCTCTGTTATAGATATAGATAGATATAGATATAGATAGACAATGATAGGTAGATAGATAAGATAGGTAGGTAGGTAGATAGATAATGATACAGGGCAAGCTATCTATATCTACTATAGTTACTAAATCTGTAACTATACCACATATATTCAGTATAGACATAATTTTTTGTTTCTGGTAGAAATTACAAGAAACTCTGAATAAGGGTTATATTACTTCAGAATCAAATGGAAGAGAGTGAGACTTCTGTTGTATTTTATACTTCCCTGGACTGTTTACGTTTCCTAACCGTATACATATATTATCTTTTTTTCCCCAAAAAAGGAACTACAGGATTTAAGTTAAAAGACTAGGTCCCGGGCTTCTCTGGTGGCGCAGTGATTGAGAGTCCGCCTGCCGAGTCAGGGGACACGGGTTCGTGCCCCGGTCTGGGAATATCCCACATGCCGCAGAGCGGCTGGGCCCATGAGCCATGGCTGCTGAGCCTGCGCGTCCCGAGCCTGTGCTCCGCAACGGGAGAGGCCACAGCAGTGAGAGGCCAGCGTATTGCAAAAAAAAAAAAAAGACGAGGTCCCATCTTTCTTCTTTGTTTCTCTATGTACTTAAATTGAATAGATACATTTATAATAACTAATAAATATGTAACAAATAAAAAATAACTATTAAAAGTACACTGAAAAAAATACACATATTTTTCCCCCTAGCAACTTGGCAAGCTATCCCATTGAAATGAAAGTGTCAGTACATAAGGATATATAAACAAGGCTGTTTATTGCATCTTTGTCATGACAAATACAGCAACCTAAACATCTCTTGATGGAAGCTCAAAAATTTGTGGCAAATATATAAGAGCAATTCTCACACTTTTTGGTTTCATAATCCTTTCACACTCTTAAAAAGTATTAAGAATGTCAAAGAGCTTTTGTTTATGTGGGTTCAATTTATCAATATTTATCATATTAGAATTTTACTGAGAAATTTAAATGTTTAACTCATTTGAAAATAAAAATAAACTCATCACACATTAACACCAATAACATTTTATTTAAAAATCTATATTTTCACAAAACAAAAAACATTTAGTGAGAAAAGTGGCACTGTTTTATATTTTTGCAAGTCTCTAATGACTGTCTTTATAAAATACAGCTTCTATCAGCGCCTACATTTTTAATCTGCGGCTGTGTGTTATGTTGGCTAATGTACATGAAGAAAATTCAGCCAAACAAACATTTAGTTGCAAAAGGGGAGAGTATTTTAATAGAATTTTCAGATCATTTTTATCAATATATTCTCTTTTGATATTATACCAAAACTCAACAAGTGACTGTTTATTAAAAGTTACTTGCAATGTAAAATCTGAAATGATACCAATGAATTTTTTGTAGTTAGATTAAAATCTTTATTTTGCACTTTGAGCAGATTTCTTAACCATTCATGATTTTGTAGTATCATGCATTGATCATTTGGAAAATATTGGTTCATTGAGTTATAGCAGATCTCCCAAATGTTGACACATGTCATATAATATCAAAAAATCAAATATCACCACTGATGCTCAGGGTGGTGGGTAAAAGTTTTCCAAAATTGCTTGTGAGCTTGAACTTTATCATCAGCAACCAATGCTGTCAGTCGTTTTCCTTGAAGCCTACTTTGTTCATTTTCAAATCTTATTTCATTTCATTGCTAATACCCAAATCTGAATAAACACAGTTTTTCAGTCTTTATTTTTTCTTAAAAAATGGTGCTTCTTGGAAAAAGCAGCTACTTTTAAGTTCAGACTCAATCACAGAAGTGCTTTTCCTTGAGGAAACCATCATACTTCAGTCTGCAGCAAACATGCTTCACGTAGTCTTCCCATTTCACCCCTCAGAATATTGAAAGGGCATGTACTCAAGGGTTGCGATTTAATATCATTAATTTCTACTGCTTCTTCAAAAGACATTCTTCAGTGAAACTGATTTAAACAAACAGGGAGTGTCTCCTGGTAAAGAGTAATTGACAACCAGTGCAGTTTGATGTGACTGCCTTGATTCATGCTAAGTAGCCTAAGTTTGGATCAGTGATACCACCTCCTCAGCTGTGTGACTTAGTAAACATTTACTTAATTCTAGGGAGACTCAGTTTTTTATCTGCAAAGAACAATGCTTTGGCACAATTTACGTGCACAATGTGTAGATGATGAATTTCAAATACAGGCTGGAGTATTAATAGGCAGCTCCTCAGATGAACAGAGTCTATGTTAAAACCTACTGGGGAGTTGGCTGACAGAGTTAGAAATAAGAGCATAGTTTTGTGATATCTTACGTTATCTTTTCATCTGTGAAGACATCCAATTGTGCACAATGACTTGGCTATCTGCATTTTAGTTTCTCAACATCCAGGATGAGAATAGAATGTCCTTTTATCTCAGCAGTAGGAAGGCAAAACCAAGGCAGCCCGGACTATGAAAGGAGCTAAGATATCCAAACGTTTTCTGGATTTGGGCTGTTTATGGGCACTCTTTGATACATATATGCACCCAACTATTCTCAAGTATAATGTTGAAGAGATGCATATTAGGAAACATTAATTGAGCACTCTAAGAACTCTTGAGAAAAGCACTTTGTTTCGATTCTTACACTTGACTGTGAATCGATGTTTAAATTTTCAGTAATAATATACAGCAACACAAAAGTTAAGAGTGGATTATTTCTAGATGATGAGGTAATAGTAGTTTTTTATTTTTTAAGGTTTTTTTTACTATCAACATTTTTGGTTTACTGTTTTAAAGTTCTTTAAAATTGTTTTAAAAACAGAAAAATCACAGTAAGCTTGCTTTATGGAATTTTTATTGTAATTTTGCACAGCATTTAAAATTTCAAAGGATTAGTTAAAATTTGGAAAGAACAGTGCATTCACCTTGGCAATGGGAGAAACTAGACCTCGTTGTGATTTTAGCCAACCATCTACAACATTTAGGAAAGAAGGATTGCCTACCCAAAAGACATTAGTTTAATGACACAATATGAGTATTGTTCTGGGAAGTAAAACACTGTGATTAAACGTGTGCTAAAACTCTGCCACCCTTGGGGATTTGTTTGTCCTAACAAAGAGCGCTCAAGTCAGACATGGAACAGACTTCGGTGCAGCACAACTTTTGCAAGTCTTGTCTTGACATCACCGAATACTTCTTTGACCTCCGAAGCCCTTCCGTGGGCAGCTGTTCACCCTGAAGACTTTCCTCCCCCGAGGAATCCGTCTTTGGAAGGTTTTGCACTGGGCTTTCCTTGGAAATCTCCTGTTCATTAGGCAGCTGGAAGCGGTCTCCTCTCTCAGCTATATGGAAGGGAAAAAACAATACTTCCTTAGAGAGCTCTGACAAAGGCAGCAACCAAGTTCTACTCTGGGGGAAATGCATTGGATTTCTGGAAGGAAATTGAATCTTGCAGTTGATTTTTTTTTTTAACATTGGTCTGGGGTTTCAGAGAGATTAGATATTTTAGGGAGAACTCAGTCATATCCACCCTCCTCATTTACAGAAGAGGAAACGTGGGTGCAGAGAGGAGGAGTGACAGAACCAGTGTCACTTGGCCAGTTAGCAGCCAAGTCAGGGCTTGACTTCTGTTGCCGTGGCTACCTCCGCCACAGCAGAGTGTATTAGTTACATGCTATCAACGAAAACAATCAAACAAAAAATAATCCTGTGTATGCTCTGCAAAGCTGATCAGTAAGGAAGGAAGTGGAGATTTAAACCTCTCTGTCTGAAAATTAAAAGTGCGCCCAACTGTTTTTATCAGTGTTGTTCCCGAAGTCCATGTATAAGCCTGTCTCACTTTAACTTCGTTCAAACTTACTTATCAGCACCTTAGCACACTGGCAAGCACCAGAAAAAATTTAGATAAATGAATGCTGATTGGTAAACCAGTAATGCATCAAATAAATAATGTATGGGAAAATATCTGAAAACCTGTGAAAGGTTAAATAAACAGTATTATGAAGTCAGTGGTGTCGAAAGAGATAGCCTTATACAGACATACACTCCATTGCCCCACATATTTTAAAGATATTCAAAATGTATTTTTTCTATTGCATTCTGATTTGCCAGAGATTGATAAAATATGGTCAATCTGGTAAATTATGTTTACTCCCTTGAGATTAAAAATGCTTATTGTTTATTAACATCTAGTAACTATGAACCTCGCATTATTAAAGTAAGAGTGGTAAGTTCATAATTTTTCAAGACATTAGTCCACCAAAATACAAAAACTCTGGGTCATTTTCCAAAATCTTTTTGTTTACCAGTCATTTTAAACCAAATTGAAACCTGTGAAGTTTTCATATCATATGTGTGGTTGCAACATTTATTCTGTAAACATGTTTTTCTTTTTTACTTTTATTATAAAACATAACAAACACAATTATTAAAATAGAATCTTAAATAAATGATACGTCACACTTTAATATAGGATTAGCAGGAGAAAAATGCCAACTTCTGAGTTACTTGAATTGGAAAATGAAGAAATGTAGTGAAGTCACCCCCCTCTCTGTTTCTGAAACACATTAGGTTCACTCCCACCCTTAAAATTCTAAAATTCTGACAGTTCCTACTGCTAGAATTCCCATCCCACTCCCCATAACTCCCAAACCCTATACACCCTTAGGCCCTCTGTCAAATACCACCACCTCCACGGTAGTGTCATTTATTACAACACACTACCACCATCTTTTCCCCACCTGAGACACAGTATAGAATAAGCAGGAGACCTCAGCTCTGAAGCCAGAAAGACCTGGTTTGCTTCCCAACCACCCTGCTTACTAGCTGGGTGAACAAATTTGTCCTCAGTAAAATGGTAAATGGTGGTAATATTACTTACTTCAAAGGATCCTTATCGGAAGACTGAATGAAATGTTGCCCATGAAACTGCCTGGCATGGAATAAGTGCTCAATAAAAGTTAGATTCCTTCCTTCCATTCTTATTTAGCACCTGCCTGAATGTCAACCTATTATATTCTATAATTATCTGCATGTGAAAATCTTGCTGCTCCAACATGACCCTTGAAATCACATGCTTCTCTCTACCCACCCTCCCAGCACCTGCCATAGATGCTAAGCTCATCGAAGTAGTTGTGCAATCAACTCATTTCAAGCTGGGGACTAAAGGAAACAAGGTCCTTATTTTTTGAAAGGAAGCTCACCTCCTTCCCAAGCCAAAATGTTTATTTTGATAATTAATCCCCCAGATTGATATAGAAGTGGCTTAGCAGTAACTAGAGAAACAGTTATTAAAACAAGTCTTAAAAAAATAATAATAAATGAGGGAGTCATATGCGTTCATGTTACCTTGCTGACCTTGTGGGATCGACTCCAGGTGCTTTCTCCACCAGGAGCTGACACAGATGTAAATGACAGTTCGTATGTACTCGAGCCCTCAGAGCTTCCTGGATTCTTCACTCTTCACTTCTGAGATGGCAAGCAGGAGAGAGAAGAGAAACAAAGTAAAAATGAAACCCCTCATTTTGCTGGGAATTTAATGAGAGTCTGATATAGTGAATATTGTCAAATCAAGTTTTGAAGTTGCCCTCATACTCTTGGCCAATTTATACGAAATTTCCTGACATTTTATTGGTCAATACGTCATTTTAACAATATTTGCTAAGCACATAGGTGACACCATGAAGTTTTAAAAATGAGCTTTTACGATTATTGCTAGTTATTCAGTCCCTTCTGAACATCATCACTTACTATTAGCCGCATACGTGAGACAATTAACAGGATGCTGTCTTGGAAGACATTGTGGAAAACACATGGACTTTGAAAGTAGACAAGTATGAGATTCAGTGTCAGCCCTACCCCTTACTGAGTGACACAGGACAAGTTTTAAACATTTTAAGCTTCGATAATCATATCTATAGAATGGGAAAACCTATCTCATAAAGGATTTGTAAGTATTGAAAGCACCATCTATTTCAAAGCATTGAGAATGCACACTTAAGAATGCAGGTTCTCTTTGGGAGATTGGGATTGACATATATACACCTATATGCATAAAATAGATAACTAATAAGAACATGCTGTATAAAAAATAAATAAATAAAATTAAATTTTTTAGAAAAAGAATGCAGGTTCTCATGTTTTAGGCTTGAATCCTGGTTTCCCACTTATCAGCTCTAGAATCTTTATCAAGATATTTAACATTCCCAAGCATCCTTCACTGTAAAATTGTGCTGATAGTAACTACTTCCTAGAGCTAATGAGATAATGTGCATCTTGCTTGGCAAAATAAACAGTCAATAATTATTGATTGCCTTCTTCCCTTACCATCCGGACAAAGTAGAAAGATAACTTTCGTTTAGAATTCAGGAGAATTTCTCTGACTAGAATCTTCCTTGTTATCCTTCACACTATGACTTAGGTATGCCTTTATCAACACACGTTTTGATAATAGAAAACTGAATTCATAATCTCAAATAGCTAAATAATGAAATTTCTCTTACAGTAAACCTTCTGAAAGCACTAGCTCTTGCAAAGCTTTTACCTAAACTGAAAATTCTAGAGTTTGAGATCTTAAAGAATTATTGTGTCACTTTTTAGCAAATTGGACAAATAATTTTTTAGTTGATTTTGTTGAATCTTTGTGATATCTGGTTGAAAAAAATCACTTGAGCCTGTGGATCAATGTCATTTCACCCCTAATATTTGTGACATCACTGTTCTTCTGTAGGGAAGCTAGAAACAGAACAAAATAATCTATGCTGTCATTGGACACATCTCTGACTCTGAAAAACAGACATATTATTTCAAAGAATTGATGCTTTCTTTATCTCTCTGGCTGCAGATAATGGATTAAGGGGTACAAGGTTTGAGGCAGGGAAAACAGAGAAAGGCTTTTGCAATAATTTAGATGAGATATGATGGTGGCCTAAATTAAGGTCATGGTAGAGAGGATGGGACAAATGGGTATTCAAACAATAGAAGGGCTTGGTACTGATTGGGCATCAGGGGCAATGGAGAGAGCAGCCAAAAGTGGTATTTAGGTTTCTGCCTTGCACAGCTGGGAGGTAGGGTGCCCATTTGCTAAGAAAGACACCAAAGGCTCAGGAATGGTTTTTGACATCAGACAGAGCTACCTTATCTTTTGATGGGTCAAAACTGCAGGTGAATCTGTGTCATTTATCAACTCCAGAGGGACATCTGCATGACTAAGTCTAACACACTCACAACATCAGCAATTATTCAGCCATTTATTCCCAACTTCTTCCCTTCTTTGGAGACTTATATTGCCCACCTTGATAATGCCAGGTTTAACACAGCACTGCAGTAAAGCTGTCATCAGTGACTATGGGCTAGGTTAGGCTTCTGCAAAACCCAAGAGAGAAGCATTCAGCCAAGGAATGACCCTACCCTAGAGGTTAGATACACTCTGTTATCTCTGAACTCTGCCATCACCCTTACTTGATCTCCCAAGGCTCAGAATAGTCCCTTCTTCAGCCAGCTCTTAGGCCTCATCAGGACTCTTGTTAATTTGGGACGCAGGCGAGAGATCTGCGCAAGATCTGAGCTCAGCCTGTGACCAAATGGAGGCAAGCTAATCACCCATGTCAGTTATCCAGATGAAAAACCTATTGCCAGTAATGAAAGCCCCAGCTGCAGAGCTTCAAATTTAGGGGCTTTGTTTTCCCCATTTGTGAATTGAGAGAGTTGGATTGAATTACTTGAGAACTCTTTAAAAACGAAAGAAAGAAAGAAAGAAACTCTTTTGAACTTGAAATTCTAAGTCTTGCTATAATTGGCTAATTCTGTTACTCCCCCCTCAAAAACTTTCAGTGGCTCGGCATTACCTGGAGAATAAAATCCAAACAGCCTGGTATTTAAGGCTCTCCACTCAGATGCCCAAATATCACTCTTTCCACACACTTCAAGGTCCAACCAGCAAGGATAACTAAAATGAAAATTAATCTTTCTATCTCTTGACCAACAACAGTTTGTTGCTTATACCTCTAACTGGAGCCCTAATCCTCTATGTTCGGAGGTTAATGCAACTTTTTCTCCTCATTTTGTCTGTAACTCAGGTTACTACCTGGATATCTTCTCTGAGGTTTAGTTTCCTCCTCTGTGAGGAGACAATAATCTGCATTTTATGTTGTCATGAAGATGGAATGAGTTAACACAAGTAAAACACAATATATGATGCTTATTATATACTCAATAAATTAACAATGTCATATGCAATAGATTAGAAAATGTAATTTTGGGTCACTACCCGCTACTATGAATGTCTTTTTTTTTTTTTTTTTTGCGGTACGCGGGCCTCTCACTGTTGTGGCCTCTCCCGTTGCGGAGCACAGGCTCCGGACATGCAGGCTCAGCGGCCATGGCTCACGGGCCCAGCCGCTCTGCGGGATCTTCCCGGACTGGGGCACGAACCCGTGTCCCCTGCATCGGCAGGCGGACTCTCAACCACTGCGCCACCAGGGAAGCCCTATTTTTATTATTTTTTTAACACAGAGTTAGTACTGCTTATCCTTGGCTAATACTCATACTACCTGCTTCTGGAGGGTGTTTTCATCAATGGCGCCACCATTCACTCAGCTATTCTTGTGGGTCATTCACAGCTCTTCATGCTCACTCACTCTTCACTGACTGAATCCTCCTGTACACACACATCCACTAAGTCACCAAGTCTCATCAGTTCTACCTTCTATTGATAAATTTCCCTGTATTCTACCCACTGCTCTCTATGACCTCTGCCATGATCACAACTTTCATTTAGATTACTGCAATGGCCTCTCGCTTGGCCCTATATCTTTCATCAATCCATTCTCCACACTGCTGCCAGAATGATCTTTCTAAAATATGTGATTATTACCCACTTTGAAGACTCTTCAATTGTTTCCTATTTTCCTCAAGAAAAAGCAAAATTCCCTTAACATGGCCTGTAAGACCTTTCGTGAGCTGGCCTCTATTTGCAAAGGTCTTAGATACCCTCAAACTTTAAATGGTCCACCTATACCAAACACCTCAGAGTTTTTTGAAAGGTTCATGTTCTCTCTCTCTCTCTCTCTAGGCCTTTACACATACTGTTGTCTTCACCTAAAGCTCCTTTTCCTCCCCTCTTTAAAACCAGTTAATTTCTATTATACAATTATCTGTAGAACCAATATTGAAATACCATTTATCTAGATAATTTTGCATAATTTTATGGATAAAATTTTCTTACCATTCATTTTAGTGATTTTTAAAATGCCCTATCATTAAGAATTAAATGAGCAGCTGAAAATGTTTTTATTAACAATCTCATAAATAGTAATATTTAAAGTTTCATTTTGTATGGACAGAGAAGCTATTTTCTTTTTATGCGTTTGTTGTTATTTGGGGCTTTTAGAAATTGTTAAAACAATAAATAATCAAACTATGTGTAATTTAGAAAATTCACTAAAACTATCATCAGTAAGTTGTGATGTAAGATCCCTAAAGTGTCCTGGGATCCTTTGTTCTTCCTGGTATAATGGCATCATATTTTTAAAAGCTGGCTTATCCAAAGAAATCACAGACATGGTGAGAGTACATTTTTTATGAGTTGCTCTGGATGCTACATAAATGTTTCATCAGTTTTTAAAAAAGCAGTGCTTATTTTAGAAGATTCATAACCATGTTTTTAGGTGTTCCAACTTAATGGGCATGTTCTGCTTTCTATTTAACCCAGGAATTTGTTTCATGTAAACTGTTAGCCTTTTAGTTTTATCACCAACTAGGTATGCCAACCTAAGCAAATGAAGGCTAATAGCCTAGTAAGTGTTCTATGGTTCTGAAGGCCTGAACAAACAAGACACGAAGCCCAGATGTTGTATAAAGGAACAAATGAGGTCATAAGCACAGTCTATATCTCCTGAAGGAGGAGTAGGGCCTTGGCAAGGACACAGCCAGCTGCTAAGGGCAAAGAGGTTCTCAGATCAAGTAGTGGGGATGTGGTCTGGGATAATCAAAATGAGAACTGCTATTTTTGAGCAACTACTTCATACCAGGCATCTTGCTAAGTGCTTTCCGCTGGAGGAAAATTGTGCCCCAAATTGTCAGTGAGAATACAATCTCACAAAGCATCAGTAATACTCACCTAAAGAAAGCGATCATAGATTTGTTCTTAGCTTTTGTCTTGAGGGGGAAAATGGATTTTATCCTGTTGTAGAACGAAAAAGAGCTATGACCTGTGTTTAGCAACTTTCAAGGCTCATTTTATGCTTTATATGTTTTCCACCATTAAAATGTTTTTACCCTCTGTGATGTTAAGACATTTTGTGAGGATGTTGAGAAAATCATATGTAAAATATTAGATCATGTTATAATATGGGACAAGCATTACTTACATTAATTTGATAATTCATTTACTCAACAAATATTTGTGGTAATAACTACTCTGTGGAGGTGCTGTTCTAGGTGTTGAACATACAATAGTGAGCAAAACACATAGTCCCTGCCCTCAAGGAGCTTACAGTCTAGGGCTGGAGGCAGACACTATGAAAATGACCACAGAAATATTTAGCACAGCAGGTATGAATGTCAACTCAGAAACTTAGGTATCCAAGAAATAGATTTTCTATAATTCAATTTCTAACTCCAAGTCTTCATTCCAGTCAGCTGGCAGAAATAAACCACACATACAAAAAGTTAATGTCCGTATCTCTCAGAGTTGGTTTTCTTCCATTTCCCAGGATATAATTCTAGTATCTTACTCTGTGCCAAGGCCCTTCCATCACCAAAGCGCTGCTCCTTGCTGGATCATTAACCATCCTCAGTTGCCTGGCTTTTTCAGTTCCTGTGCTTCTTTGCACACTGCTCATTCCATAGAGAATGGTTTTTTGAGGTTGACTATGGTCCCTCCTAGGTCTTACTACTTCCTGAACAATGCTTTTCAGAAGTAGGACATGGGTCCCCTCTGCTCTGTGGATCCACAGGCCTCTTTTCTTCATTTCCCCTTCCTCTCCAGCCCTGCAGAAACTTCACATTTCCCTTCATGTTCAAGATGCTTGGAGCAAATTTAGCCTGGCTGGGTGAGGTCCTGTAGGAGGGAGCTCAGACGGGGCTCTTCTGAGAAGATGAGATATGAACTGAGATCTGAAGGGTGAGTGAAGAGCTAACACACTGAAGGGGAGTGAGGAGAGAGGAGGAGAGTACTCCCAGCAGAAGGGGTCCATATGGCAATGTCTAATAGCAGAGGAAAAAAGCTGAGTAAAACTAAGTTACTAGCATTATGATTTAGGGGTAAAACCTTAATTATAGAAGAATATGTACTCATGTTTTGGTGTATGAGACCTCAGTAAACTATACAGGCATGAACCATTGACAACACAATAGTGGATAATGTATAAGAACTGTTCAAAACCTTGGTTTTGAGTTCAAGTCCGACCAGTCACCAGCTCTATGATCTTTGGCAAAATATATCACCTCTTTAAGCCTTAATTATATCATCTGGAAAGTAGAGATTATGATAATAATACAACTGCTTGCCCTACCTGTCTCATAGGATCAATGTAAGGGTATAATGTGACAGTGGACTTGAAGATGTTTTGCAAACTGCAAAGAACTTTAACAGGTACACTGTTACTAGTGCGTTGATAACAATTATTCACAGTACAATTCAACATTTTTAGAGAGACTCCTATTGAGACAAAGCAGCAAATACTAAATGTTCTACTTCTCATTTATTATTGTATGTAACCACACAGAGGTGAACTAAATGAACACACTAAATACGATGTACAACTATATACTAGAGAATACAATCTTCCTTCCCTACAGAAGTTGGAAGAGCAGCTAACAATTTACTCTCAGGCAACAGTTTAACTTCTCTCTGAGAGATGCCTGGCAGAGAATGACCAAATGCAAAAATGCATACCTAGCACAAAACAGGAGCCTAAAGTTAGCCCAGTCACCACTCTCTCCTTAGGCCCTTAACCAGCCCATTGGTATTTTGTGTGTGTGAGTGTGTGTGTTTAAAGATAAAACAAGATGGCTAACAACTGAGCAGAATTCTCATTCAATTCTTAACATTTTATGGTAAACTCTATATGTTATCAGGAAATGAAAATTAAAACAATAATGAGGTACCACTACACACCTATTAGCATGGCTGAAATCTGGAACACTGATAATATCAAAGCTGGCGAGGATGTAGAGCAACAGGAATGCTCATACACTTCTGGTGGGAATGAAAAGTGGTATAGCCACTTTGGAAGATGGCTCAGGGTTTTGTTTTGTTTTTTTACAAAACCAAACATACTCTTACCATACAATCCAGCAATTGCACTCCTTGGTGTTTTCTCAAAGGAGTTGAAAACTTATTCCACATAAAAACCTGTACAAAGATGCTTATAGCAACTTTATTCATAATTGCCAAAATTTGGACTCAACCGAAATGTCCTTCAGTAGGTGAATGACAAACTGTGGTACATCCAGACAATGGAATATTATTCAACACTAAAAAGGAATGAGCTATAAAGCCATTAGCGGACATGGAAGAACCTTAAATTCATATTACTAAATGAAAGAAGCCAATCTGAAAAGGCTACATATCGTATGATTCCATACATGGAATAGGTTCAGTTCAGGATCAGTTGCCCAGGATCCAAGAAGAATAAAATAGCTTTATTTTTCATTTAGGCCTGATGAGCAATGAGAATAGAACATGTGAAAATTTTTTAAGATCAAAAATATATAATAAAAAGACACATTTTTTTCAATTAAGTTTTATTTTGTTATACAAAGTATTATGCAAAGTCCAAATCTTTTTAAAAGACAAAGAGTTAATGATTTACACGAGCAGAAAATTTATAATCCTTATAACCTGACCTTAGCTTTCAGTCCACCTAAAAATTGCCTTGCTTTTGTTTAAAGGATGGCTCCAAAGAAATGGACACTGATAATTCCCACTGCTGCTCTGATTCCATTCTCACTTTTAATATTATTTTTCAGACAGTTTAGTCAGTTTCAAGTGCCTTATCCTCTCCTCTCCACTTAGAATGCTTTATAGAACAGGCTATACTGTCCTATGGTCTCAGTTAACAAACTGCAGGACTTTTAAAGACAAACAGCATGGAACAGACAGTTAGCAATCTATATTTGGAGGAGTTGCTGCCTCCCACTCCTCCAATTTCCACAAGCTTGCTCTAGAACCCTTCACAAAATAACATCCTGATGCAAACTACAGACCAGGGACTTCTGTTTTATCTCTGGGCCCACTTAAGTCTGGGCTTAAAA